GTCCTTGTACAAGACACTAGATCTTGGCTTGTATCTCTCTCTCTATCCAGATGTATAAAGCAATATAAATGATGTTCCTATAGTAAAACAATGTTAATAAAGTGTCTTTTCATTGCTGTCGATATGCAGTTGGTTGACTGTAATTTGTAATAATTGTTGTACGGTGATATTCTGTGAAACATCATTTACAGTAAATGGTAAATACTGATAGTAGCTTAATATTGGTTAAACTTTTAGACTCAAATGTTTCCCTGCTAAGTGATGTCACAGCAGATCACACTCAACTAATTCACTTAATTTAATACAGTATTAATTTTAAAAGCATGTTAATATCATACACAAATGACAACCAAATTGGAACACTGTCTAACATTACACAACAATGTCATCATCACTATTGATGAATAACATCATATGTCCTTATATAAATCAATGCAAACAATTAAAGGGGAACCAAGACTTGCAAATTGATCAGTTTGCCTTTTTATTCACGTGATATGCATCATTATTTTAACAATGCTGAAATACTGTAATAATAATAATGTTTACAATATATTTACACTAATTCTGTTAAAATATCTACCATGTACAGTAGGAAAGGCCTACTTAAACTTCATCAAAAACAATCAATTTGTCCATCTTTATGAATAGCGAAGAGCTGTAATGAGTATCAGTGTGTGTACTGATGTACACATGCAGTTCATATATTAAAGGATAGTCTTGCAAAATGGCTACAGCATTTACCTTATGAGTGGATTTCAGAGGCAATATGTACAATCAAATTTTATCCAGTAATTGTGTGTTTAACAGTTAACATTGTGATAGTTGCTAATAGCCTTTGAGCAGTGTACACTGCCTTTTAGATTGTACTTTCATCAAACTTATACTCAATCATGCAAATCCCTCCAGAACTCGGGTAATTTTGGTCTTCGATCGTTTGCATTTGGTTGTTCATCACAAGCTGGTGTATTAATGAAATAGTTGACATAACTGGAAAAAAAAAATGTTTATCATTAACATTGGCCTAATGCAATTATTATACAGATGCACAAAATACTGTAGTGTGATAATATATACAAAATCAAGAAGATGCATGTTGACATATAGGGAGGTCCATTTTTTCAAGTCAAATTCTTGCCTTTGAAATTCAGTCTCGGTCATTCTTGAATATCATCTTTCCACATAGGCCTAGGCCTTATTCAAAATTACGCTTAAAACATTTCACCAAAATTGTTGGGCTAAATACTAAGATATAGCATGGCCTTGGTTTAGAGCGTTGTAGTTGGCCTAGGACTCGGCTAGTAGTAATACTAGGCCTTAGGGGTAATAATAGCATTTTTAAATAATATTTATATCATTTTTTATGGTCTGTTTAAAATAATAGCAGATGACAAATTAACAACAGATAGCCTACATATAGGAAACAGACGTCGTTGTCATGTTATCCAGTAGCCTACTGACACACTGACTGAGCAATCTTCTAAGCTAGGCCCAAATAAATTGGTTATGTGCTGCGCGGATAATACACCGAAGCGCTTGACAAATCGCATTGGACCTGCCAAAAGAATAGGAATAAGTAGACCTAGGGCCTAGCCTAGATCCTCCTCCAGTACAGATCAGAGAGCAGACGTTTTTAAGTCGCATCTTTATTCTGTTTTAAATACACATAATAATATACTTATCTTTTAACTTCGATAAACTTTTGGTTCGACTGTGACGGCATTACTCAGCTGCAAGATAAAAAGCTGGATTTCTCAATGGTAATTTGTTTATAAACACATCACACCGCATTGCCCTTTAGAGGATTAGGGACTCCCCAAAAGGACTCCCCAGTAATGGCGTCGACAACAGAGGGCGCCATTCTTCTTGGATAGGTCTATATTCGAGAGGAGTATGGAGATTGTATCTGTACACTGGGGTATCTCCATTCAGACAGCCCTGTGGTGGACGATGAGAGTTGCTGGTACCAGTTTACTGGGTAGCACAGACAAGAAGGGACCCACAGGAGCAAATAAATTCACTGAATGGGCTACTCGTCCACAAATCAAGCACCATCAGCATTTTGTTGGATGAACACCGGCGCTATACAAATGTACACTATAATTAACAAAATGTATACCTTAGAAGATGATGCTGTATCCAGTCAATCCAACTGTAAACAACAGGCATTCCCTCATACTCCTCCCACAACTTATCAAGTTGACGACAGATGACTGACAGCTGCTGCCCAGCCAACCACGGACAAGATAACTTGAAAGTGGGTGGGGCCTCTGCTGGATAGGTAGCTGGGAGGCTCAAGTTGATTTCAATTGGGGTCAAATTAGACACGGTAAATTTTGAGTGCCACCTTTGACCTGTACGGATGAAAGTATGGAATGATTATCAAAAACAGTGTACAAATTTATTATTACAGGTCTTCCTAGGATTAGAGACCACTTTTGGGACAAGGGTTTCTATGTTTATTAGCAGGTTCGGTCTCCAATTAGAATAATAATGATAAAGGAAAATTGTTAAAATACGGGGCAACAGGAAAGTGGTCTTAAATTGGAGGTGCTTTTGGGCCTTAATTAGAGGGAGATCTGTATTAGAAAAATGAAGCAAAAGCAGCAGAGACGGGATATTCATATGTCCCAATAATTTCCTAAAGTTGTTAAAAGTTTTATAGGTTAATGAGGTTAAAGGTTAAAGAAAAATCTTGGTTGGTTTGACTTGGGACTTCCCTGGGTGAATACATTAGCATGAAAATATGAACATACTCCTAAATAGATAAATATTAGTGAATGATGCATTTACCTGAGGTTGAGCGCGTAAAGTCAGGGCGTGCAAACTCTGGCTTGTAGGTGGCAGCAGCAGATTTTGCAACATTACAGTTGACCTGGTTTGGCAACCACACTTCAACCTCAATTGTGTCATGGGTCAACTGTACCGGAACCTTGACCTGAAAATATCCAATAAGAGTGGCTGTGAAATAGATGATATTCTATTTTACTATCATTTCTTTCTAATGATTAACATAGTTCGAACAAATTGAAATGGGTTACAGTACATCCTTGTAGTTAGAGTTATTGAAGTTCTTTCTCTAATTAAGCACCACTTTCTAGGGTTTTGATAATCTTTATGCAGCCTACAGGTCAAGTCTCCTTGGTCCCCCTACTGCCCACGACTTGTTGTACCACATCAGTTTTCTATTTTTTTTGACTTGTTGTACCACATCAGTTTTTTTTTTTTTTTTTTTTTTTTTTTTTGAGCATAATACATTTTAAAACATCTCATAACAAAACATCTAAAAGTGGTCAAAATTACTCATTTTTTCTAGGCGCCAGAGGATTTAACTTTTGGGGATCCCGCCAATGCTTCACTCATCAAACATACCAGCCTTGTCAGCCCTTGTCTCAGAAAAGTTCTTATCTGATGATACTCAAAAAATACCATTTTGGAACACATGGAAAAAGGCACCAAATATGTACAAATTATTCATAGTTAGTTGGTTATAGGTGAGCCTATATAAGCCCAGTCCAGGCTGTGAAATTTTGTTTAACAAAAACATGTGACATGCCTAAATATGGTCATGATGACACCATGACTATATATAGGCACATCATGACTATATATGGGCATACAACAGTTTTTTGTTTTTTTTTGTGAAAGAAAATTCGACAGTGTGTACAGAGCTTATATAAAGCTGTTGAAAGTAAATATGATTCATTTAAAAAAAAACTAAGATTTTTTTTTTTGGGGGGGGGAGGGGAGGGGTCACTAAGAATCAGCAAACCTTGAACGACAAGGGACCAGCATCTGGGTCCTCATTTGTGATGAAAATACTCCCTTCATCCAAAATCGCCTGAAGAGCTACAAGCTGAAACAGAAAAAGAAAGAAAGAAGTTGTACATATTATAAAAAAAAGAAATTGTTAAATTTTACAAACAAAACACTCCACATTGTAAAGTAATATCTTTTATGCAGAAGATCTCGAAAACAAACTCAAATTTTTGCAGGAAACAGATGCATGGATTCGTACTGTTTTACACAGAGACAAGCTTAGGCTTTGGCAAAATATGCGCAGAAATCGTGCCTAATTTTCCAAAATGCTCGAACAGGATTCTACTGGAATGAATTTTTGCGCAGTTTCTTAAATTTATTTAGCTTTTATTAATTACAGTATACACAATGCAGCCATAAAAATACCTCAATGTATTGTATGTCATCATTATTTTACAAAAATTGTTACAAAAAAATATAAGTCCATAACAAAAATATTTTTTTTTTACACCGAGGACATCCCCGCGCAGGCCTATTACTGTACACAATCTGGCCCCTGACAACGTTCTAAAAAGCAATAAAATGCAATGGAATATTCAGTTAAGCTGGCCTAAACATAATGTTTTTAAAATTTGATATGCAGAGAGGGGCATACTGCCATACCAAACAATCTGATGTCTGATGTTTACTGTCACTCGCTGTAATACCCTAATTAATCAGATTTATAGAGGGCGTCATAACGCTGATGTATAACAAAGGTAACCATGGCGGCATTTGGAAAGAAGTGTACGTAAAGTTTCTCGTACTTAATTTAGCCTGCCTTGCCATCTAGAATCTGTAGAGTTGCGAAATCTTTAATTGAAATGTCTACAAAACTTTGGTGAGTTGATTCACGCTGTATATTGATTAAGTTAAAGCTGTCTCTTATACACATCTAGATGTTGAAATGTCTACAAAACTTTGGTGAGTTGATTCACGCTGTATATTGATTAAACTAAGTTAAGAATGCATAATTTAATGTTAAATAAACCTAGGCAAGCGAACGTATTCTACGCTATCTTTTTGTATAGATCTTTTTTATGATTGACATTGATTGTTTGTGATTCGATGATTAGTTTTATGATAAATCATTTTTAACCAGAGTTTAAAGTAATAATGTTTAGTTGTAAGAATACTCTGATAGATGTAGATTGAGCTATCTCGATCATTTTATATGTTAATCTTTTAAGTATTGAAATACTGTTAGTTTTAATTGATGATTAAATTGATAAATGGCGATTCTTGCTGTTTGAATGTGAAGGCGTACGCTAACGTCTTCTTAGACGGTTGTCTCAGCAGCCGCGCGTGTACGCACGCATGTTTCCATGGACGTATAGTTGTTTACATTATTTGTATGCCTAGGCTAGGCCTACGCTGGCTACATAAAGCATATTATTGTTATACTAAATTATAGGCAAACTTTAATTTCAAGAGATTGTCAAGGATGAATGTATTATTAATTTAAAGCTAAAATACTTTCATTCAACATTATTGTATTGCTTTATGCTATTTGTATTTTATGGTTATTTCACGTTTCATTGAATCACGTACACGTACTCATACTCGTTGACGTTGTTCTTCTCGTGTTCGATAGACGTCTCGTCATCGTCCCGTTACTACTGTACTATTGTTATACCATTTTTTCACCGTTTCATTTAACATCCTTTCTACGTTTGAACGATTAAATTTACATAACATCTTATGCTGATTCCATTGGTAGTAATTTTTAATTTGAAGTTGTTTCACATTCTACACTTGCTTCAATAAGCTTACAGTGTACTGGTAGTATATACACCCATCGTTGTAGTCTTTGCGGACGCGATTTGAAGCATTAACAAGACTAAAAAACATTCAAAATTGTATTTTTTCTGCTTATTTTCATGGCTTTTGTTCCAAATATAAGTTCACATCATTAATAACGATCGGTTGTTAGTTTCAAACAAAAGAAATATTTATGCACTGTACTATAGGCGCCATAAAATGAGAATTTAGGTCTGGTACCTAATTTCTCGATGGTACCTCAATTTTCGTGACACCGGCCCTAGGGCCGGCTAGGTCTCCAAACTAAGTTAGCTCAGCGAGCCTAGTACGCCTATCTAGGCGTGAAGGCCTACCTAGGCGCTAGCCTAGGCGGGTTAACGGTAACTAACAGCTACAAACTTAGAGTTAACTTTACCTCCTCTCTCTGTTCTTCAACTGAATTATCGGCCATTATCAATAATTATATATATAATATTACCTCAAAAATTCATCACAACAAAAAAAATTCTTAATCATTTCACTTGGCTAAAAGCTGGAAGCTGCTCCGAAAGAAACAAATCGATTACACATCGGAACACTGTTGTATGGAACGCCATGCGGGCCTGAGGCATAATGGTGATTGTTTGTGGTGTTCATTTCACTGGTCACTGATGACAGGGCCGGCCGAACATTTTTCCGAGTGGGTGTGTGTGGGGGAGGGGGGGAGTGGGGGAAGGCGGCCACTAGTAAGATGAATGGGAATATGAATGGTTTCAAATTTAGGAGGTGGAGGCTGTCACGACATTGACTGGATATAAGACACAGAAACAAAATATATATAAAATCAACTGGTTTTAATTAAATAAAAGTTTGTTTTGTATATCCAATGACAAAGTGTTGTGCTACCTCCCAGAATCTTTATCACTGTAATAATGCATTCGAAGTTCAGATCATCTACTAAGTCTTGCTAACTGCTAGGGCTTTTCCCCTCAGTCTGCAATATCACTTTTATATATACCCTATATATGCCAATAGGTAGATATTCTGATTTATCAACTATTAACAATACTCACGGTCAATTCTTTACTTCATTTCTTGATTCAAAAATACTGTGAAGCTCTCTTAATTCATCTATCACTCACGTATAATTACTTTAAGCTTTTACATATAAGCCTTGTACTTTTATCTTAAAATGTGCCTCGACTGATATGTCCTTTAACCGACACTCCTCAGTCCACATATTTCCTTTAAGATATTTTATCTTCAACTCCTGGCTAGATACCTATAAACTAACCCTTCTTAACATATTTGCATACTTTTACACTCCACTTAAATGCACGAACCATACACTGCCACTTTGCCTTAACCTCATTAATATTCATGTAACTTATTTCCATTCACAGACCGTTTTAACTTGAGTCATACAACTATGCATATTCAATAGTTCACGATTCAGTTAGCAGTGCTGCAAAGTAGAATGAAATATCCTAAATATTGTGACATCCCCCTCTTTTTCATTGTACTTTAGCAGTTTTCAGAAATGCATGAATAATTTTCTACATCATATTTAATTATTATTTTAAACATGACATCACTTTAACCATTTTATCATAATTAACCATAACAAGATAACTCTTAATATTCTTTCATAACAATTACAGTGTACATTTCTTCTCAAATTAGCATTTCCTTGTTTAAACATACAATATATATAACACCATTTCCATATATTAATTTTGTCACAAATAACATTTTCCATACAAAAAATAATATAGGTTTCTCTCCCACAACATTCCCTTTACTCACCAATCCTTCCACATCAAACACATTTCTTCTACACCTTTTAACCAAATACTTTCTTTTAAACAATAAAGTTGTTTTTTTTTTTAACTAATCACAACTAACAATCAAAACAACCAATTTCCTGCAACCTTCGATCGAACTAAATTCAGAATTTGCTTTTCAACTAAACATTAAGCTTCCCTCAAAACGAACAAAACACTTCCATTTGGATACCTTTTAACGTCATGTCCATGACGACGAACTCAAACATCCCTTCCTCAAACTAAAACATTCTTCTCTTTGGATACCTTTTAACGTCATGTCCAGGACGACACACTCACATTCACATTTTCTCCCTTCCTCAAGCAAAGTATTATAATACTTTGGCACCCAGATAAAATATATCAAAACACTAACACTTTCGTATTTCAAATCACTTTTATTTCCAATGTAAACCCTATTACATGTTAACATTTAGATTTAAACCCATCTACAATCTGCTGAGTAGATCTGCACCAACGTTATCACTTCCCTTTATGGTTCTAATGACGAATGTATAAGGTTGCAAGGCAAGAGCCCACCTCATTAATCTATCATTGGCAACTTTACTTGTTTTTAGATACGTTAATGGTTGGTGATCTGTTTCTAAGACAAATTCACGCCCATATATAAGAAAGTTTCAATTTTTTAAATCCCCCACACAATCGCTAAACATTCCTTTGCGATCGTCGAGAAGTTCTTCTCCCTTGAAATGAGTTTTCGACTGGCATACGCAACCGGGAATTTTTCGTTACTTCTTTCTTGTAGCAGAACTGCCCCTAGCCCTATGTCAGAGGCATCTGTTCTCAGAATGAAACCTTTAGTTAGATCTGGAAGATGTAAAATAGGGTAGTTAGTTAATCTCTCCTTCAGAGGCATTTTCGTGTTGTTGCTCCCGACGTAACTTTTCCGGTTCCTTATTCTTTGTTAAATCAGTAAGGGGTGTTGCGATGGTTGCGTAATTCGGTACAAACTTCCTGTAATAATTTGTTACTCCTAAAAACGACCTAAGTTGTTTCTTTGTTGTTGGAAGACTAATACCTAAAATGCTTTCTATTTTCTTGGCCCTTGGAAGTAACATACCATTTCGACCACATAACCGAGAAATTCAACCTGTTGTTGTCCCACAAAACATTTACTTGGTCTAGCAGTCAATCCGGCAC